GGTCACCGTGTCGATCTCACGGAAGTCGAAAAAGTAGTCGCCAGAATATCTAATATCGATAAAGTCGTGGTTCTTTGTCACAAACCTGGTGAACTATCACAGGTAAATATTTCAATATATAATACAATATATGTGCGGAAATGTACTTGTGATAAAAAATTCGTAAACAATAATTCTTTTAAATTTAATTTTCTCTAAATATCTAAACAATCTTAGAGGATATTTAAATAATACGTCTATCTTTTTAATCGCTTTAGATAAAAAAATCAATCTTCAATAATTTTAATAGCACGTAATCTAGCATTAAAAGAACCGACATAACTTATCCAATTGAATATTGATAAATAAATTCATAAATTGAATATTCAATTTAGTCTAATAAACTATTTCATTATACAGTTTTATGACTTTTAAAAATATTTCTTTGTTGGCAATTAACATATATACACATATTCTATAAACACCGTCTTTAAGTCACTAAAAATACAAAAATATTAACATTAAATATTATTAAAAATGTTAACTTAATTTTCTAATGTTAAATTAATACACAGATAAATTTTAAATGTTTAGGCATTAGTAGCTTTCGTTACCATCATGAATGGGACAAATTTATCCAGTTCGGAAATCGAAGATTTTCTTCAAAGGACTCTTCCGTCATATATGTTACCACAAATTTTTATTGTTGATCACATACCTCTTCTAACCAATGGAAAAACGGATCGACAGACATTGTTAAAGAAATATGAATCATCTTATTTTAATAATGGTATGTCGAAATAATTACTTTATATCGTTTTGTTAAGTCAAATATCATATATAAATATCGTGATATTTTTTTAAGCTATTAAGTGAAATGAAATATTAATTATTTCATTATAGTTACATTTTAATTACAAATAATTGTTTTATCTTACAAATACTTTTATCTTTTAAAAGTAGATATTTTTAAGTTACAATGATTCTATCAAGCAAACCAGTTTATGAATATTTATTGTCTTCCTTTCAATTTTAACATGAAATGCTACATATATTTAAGATTAGAATAACTTTTCTAATCTTTTCTATAAAATAAGTTAATTAAGTAACAAATATAAAAAAAATAAAAAATAGTTTATTTTTATTTTTTCATGTTTTATTTCTTACTGAGTAACTAATTCTGCATATTGGATTTGCAACAATTATGTTTGGTTAAAAACAGAAGAAATAAGAAGATATTTTAATAACAATTTTTAATCTATAATCTCTACTTTTTCATAGATAAATAATTCAAATATACAAAATAAATTAATTATTATCCAATTTCTTTTAATTACAAATAATGAAAGAATAATTCATTTTTTAATTCAAAAGATTTATGTTTTATTGGTTAAGCTCAAATATTTTATTCTAGAAGACGACTTTTCTACGAATTGCGATTATAGCGGCGTTCCAAGTCAAGATCTTGCAAAAGCCCATATCCTCTTTCCGACTATTGCATCTGTAATCGGACGTAGTGATCGAGTGTTGGTAACGTTACACTCGAATTTTTACGAGCTTGGTGGAAATTCCTTGAATTCCATTTATACTGTGACCAAATTAAGAGATCAAGGTTATCAAATCGGTATTACGGATTTTATTACGGCGAAAAATTTAGCCGATGTATTAAACCGGATGAAGCTCATGTCATCCGATGAAGAGCCTCTGAAAGAAGCCATTGATCAGAAGCCATATGTCTTTGAATCATTAAATGATTGCCATAAGGAGGACACGATCAAGTAAGTTGTGCAAAATTTTAAAAGTTGTTCAATTTTAAGTTCGTAACAATCATATATGCTTGAAACAATTAAGAAGACATTTATTTAAATTTGCAGAATAATCACAGAGAGCTTTTACTCAAAAGCCGATTTGGAACAGTGGTTAATACCAGATATAACAAGAGGTGATTATCGGGAATTAATGGAAATTATGTGGGAATTTTATGTAGAAAAAGACCTTAGTTTCGTGATAAAGTCGGCGCAGAGTGGCAAAATAATCGGGGTTGCTCTCAACTTTGATCTTTGGGATGAACCTGCAGTAGTACTGAAATCTAAATTAATGATCATTTTTGATTTTCTCGAATCTGTGGAAGGACCGATCAGAGACAAATTACCAAAGAATAAAGGTCAGATAATTCACATTTCCATGATGGGGACAAACATTGATTTGAGTCCCGCGGAAAACGTGCTTGTAATGAAACACATGGAAGAATACTGTTTACAATTCGCCAAACAAAAAGAGTACATTGGAATTTTCACCACAAATACTAGTCCGCTCACACAGGTAAACGATGAACATAATCCTTTAATAACTTAGCTAATAATACCAATAATAATAAAGAAACTTATTATAATACATAATTTTGCGAAATTCATGATTTATTTTTTATGTAAACTTCAGCAACTTGGTACGGACGTACTCGGTTATGAAACAATGCAGATATATCAAGTGAATAAATACGAGACTCCCGAGGGATATAAACCTTTCGGTAAAGCTCCTGACAACCAAGTGATAATTTGCGCATTGAAGATGATTAATTAAAATCATTTTAATAAATATTAAATAATGTGAAAAAGATAATATTATTTATTAAAGGTAAAAGGTTATTCCATCTTCCGATAAACTTCACTGTCTTACTCTCTTACTTTCTTATGCTCTTATTCTTTTACTATTTTGTTTATTCAGTAGGTAAATTATCTCGTAGTTTATCTGAAGATGGAACAACGGACCCTAAATAGTGTAAACAACTGCTATCTTTCATCGATGCATCTGATCATTAGTAGTTCATTAATTTCAAAACGCATTGTTATTTGCTATAAATATCAATGATAAACATATAATTGCACGAAACAGCAACTGATCAATTATTTATAATCATTTACATATACTATTTGTCAAATATAACTATTGTTTTTTCGTTATTATTTCTCATTGCTTTTCATAAATTAGAAAATCTTTAAGATTATTTACAATATTTTAGTGTAAGAATCTATTTTATTATTTATTGATATTTGTATATAAAAATGCGATATAATTTTCGAAAATTTTTAAAATTTTTAAATTTTATAAAAAATTTTCTAAAATTAATAATTGTTATATTATATTAATATTGTTATATTATAATATTTCACCAATACAGACGCATAAATTTCAATGAAGATATTTTAATTAAAACATTTTAATAAAATATAATAAAAGTATTCATTGCAATTATTCATTTACAATAAATACTTTTACTAAGCTATAAATTTATTATAAAAATTTATTGTGATCTGTTTTTTAAAATGTTAGTAGTATGCTGTTATTATTATTTTATCGCGATAATTATCTTTTTAAATAAAAAGTATTACCCGAGAAGTATTTTAAGTATAAAGTATTATAAAAAAGAAGCAACGATTTTATGATAAATTATAAGTTATTTCTTAATATAATATTAAATTATTTAGGTTGTAAACTTATTCTTTGACATGTCATAATAATGTAAAATAGGAGTATAATAATTATTTATTTTACTTCAAATAAAATACAATAAATTTATAATAAAAATAACACTTTTACGATTGTTAAATAAAAATATAAGTAATATAACATTAAATTAATGCATATTTTTTTAATAAACGTAATAGTTTACAAATTAAATACAAGTAAATTGCCTATAAGAACCTCCACGGTTGTTAATGCGTACATAATATATTTATAAAATGATAGATACACATAATATGATAATTGATATACACTCACATGCAAAAAAATCGGAACAGTAAATTTTTGCACAAATTTTTAATATCTTCAAATAACAATAACTCAGTGAAAAATCATCGTAAAGAAATGTTTAAAAAAGCTTTTTAAAGCTTGAAATCTCTACTTTCCAAATCGGTTCTTTAAAAAACAGTTGTAAAAGAAATTGCGCACAAATTTTGTAAAAAATTTTGAGAATTTGTGCATTTTCGTTTATGTTTGTGTAACTTCACATAATTTCAGTACAATCGTTTTTTAAAAGTACCGATCTGAAAAGTAGAGATTTCAAGTTTTAAAAAATTTTTTTAAACATTTCGCCACAATGATTTTTCATTGAGTTATTGTTATTTGAAAATATTAAAAATTTGTGCAAAAATTTAGTGTTATGATTTTTTTGCGTGTGAGTATATTTGACTTCCATATTTAAGAGAACTTAAATCCAGAGTCGAAATGTTTGTAGAGTTTATTAATAATACTGTTCCAATTACAAATTACATCTTAATGCGACGCGAACAACCTAAGATAAAATGGCGTCTTGAGGCAATATGTCACTACTTTTGTTAGAGTAAAATGCCAATAATCATTTTCTCTAATACATAAATTAGCACGCTATAAACAAACGTTTTACTACATAATCCCATTGACAGGATATCCGTATTAATAAATAATTAATAAATAAATTTAAATTTTTATTTATTTCCTTATTATTGTATATTAATTTATTGCCCAATTCAAAATTCTGAATAGAGAATATAGTTCTTCAATCTATTTTAATGGATTGAATTTTTTTTATTACTGGGAACTTAGACTTGTAACACTATGTAAATATAGTAAAATAAAGTAAAACAAATATTTATTTTAACGTTTCATACTTATAAATTACAAACTTTTACTTCTAAAAATTTTTAAGATTACTTTAGTATGAAAATCTATTTTAGTTACTCAGCAAACAAGAATGGATTAAAATGGATTGAAATTTTTTTCTATCCGAATGCGTATTTTAAATAGCAAATACTTTTTTTGGATTAATTGGATTCAATTGGATTCAATTGGATGCAATTGGATTGAAAAACTGTATTTCCTATTCAAAATTTTTAATTGAATCTATTGAACAGTATATATTGACACAATTGTGTGTTGCACAGAAAAAGCTAATATTATTTTTAGATTGAAAGGCATAGAGATATGCTCTATGCAATTCCTATAAATGAATAAAAATATATTCAGGATTGAAAAGCATTCATTTTAACATTCATGAATCAATATTTCTGAAAATCTGAATCCATTTCAATTCATTTCAATCTATTCTTGCTGGAATCCTCGATAGGATTATTTATTAATATTTATTACAAATCAAGACTGTCAAATACATAAGTAGAAGAGAGAGAGAGAGGGGAGAGAGAGAGAGAGAGAGAATGAGTGAGTGAGAAAATAAATAAGAGCGAGTGAGAGAGAGAAGCAACTTAGACATAACCTCAATTTCTATCGTGATTTGACAGCATATTCGATATATTACACACTAATAATTTATCCACTCTAATGGATTAATAGTATTAGTAATAGAATTGTAGAAGGAAAGAGTAAATTTTACCAAAGAGTAAATTTTTGTATATAATAAAAGTGTGGAGAATAACGAATATCTTAATGTATCATTATTATTGATAATTATTTATCCGCTTTAGTTTTTTATTAGTTACTTTTTTGAAAGGCTCGAAAGCTCCAAATGGCACCATTAACGGATTTACTTTCTTGCAGTGTAATAGGTATAGCAATAAAAAAATTATATATATTATATATATTGGGTCAAAAAGTATCCGCGGTTTTTTCATTTAAAAATTGAACAAAAAGATATCGTACATAATCAAAAATAAAAATTGCAGAGAAAGATTGTAATGGGGATGTCTTATGGACATGGTCGTATCCAGCTGTTACAGAATCTCAGAAGACTGTAGTCACAAGAAAATGCAATTTGAAGTTGGAGCATACATCTCCTCATGTATTTGTATGTGCGAGACATGGACATGATTGGTTCTACATACATTGCAGCGAGGTATTCGACTCTGACAAACTACCGAAGGTAAATGTCTTAAGCTTTTCTTATTAAAGATCAGATATTGTCTTATAGATTCTGTACAAATACTCTAAATGTTAACTCTCTAATAATTGTCTCAGGTAAAACAATTTGCATTGGTTCTTTTTGCAAAGGACTTTAATCCACAAAAGTATGAAGTGCTCTCAAGGGTTCTTAGCAAAATGTATTGCAAAACTGGAAAGCCTACAGAGATTTTACAGTTGTATTTATCTGTATTCACAAAGGGATCATGTTCGACGCAAGAGAACGGAACATTTGTCTCTGATGATTTTAATACTCATCGTTTTGCAGCTAGCACTAATGTCAAAGAGTTGATTAAAACATTCGAATTAGAAACAATTTTGATATATACCGCTCTCTTATTAAAAAAGAAGATTATTGTATATCATCACAGCCTGGAGCAACTTCTTAAGTGGATAAGAACATTTCCTGCGTTAATGAAACACAGGAAAGTTACTGACAATCTTTTTCCCTGGATTGATTTGGTGAACGATGAGTTAACTGAATTAAAGGCATGTATTCCGTTAAAGAATATATTATTTTTAATAGCAAGAAATGTGATAAATAAGATTCTTAACTCAGTAATTTCTTTACTCAGAATGGGCTGTAGGAGCAAAACATTATTATTATTGATATTATTATTACTATATCATTGATATTATTATTATTACGTCATCATCTTAATTGCTATATATAATAATTATTATTGTTATAGAAATATTCGTATTATGTGGCAGGCTGCAGTAATAGTTCAATATCGTCAAGGATAGATCTGTACGATCTGCTTGTAAATATTCCTGCTAGAGAAATTACTGTAGCACCGCACGCCAAAGGTAAGAAGAAAAAAAAAATCTATTTCGTTTATTTTCATATCCATATTTCTTGCAGTCTTATGATGCATCATAAGATTACAATGAAAATGTCTCATGGATACGAAAAAAATATGTTTTCTAATCTATAATCTTTATTCATTTTTTTTTCCAGAAAGTCTTACAATGACGAAAACCCACAAGGAAATAGCCTTGTTCATGGTTCAACTATGTGAAAATCAAAACTACACAGAAGCACAAGTTATATCCGAGATAAGTGACAAAACGCAAGATCTTCTAAATCAATTAACTTCATTAGCAACAGTGCAAACTCCAGATGGCAAAAGAATGATATCCGTCGAGATATTTAAAGAGAAAAACTTAGCGCCGGCTGTAGAAAGTTTTCTTATTAATTTGGCCATTGCCGAAAACCTTTTTGTGTTATAATTTTATAAATCAAAGTCTTTAAACATGTTAAACGCGAGAATAAAGTGAGAATAAGAGATAAAATGTATCTATTTCTCTCTCTTATCTCATGTTAAAATATAAGCATTCATTGTTTGTTATATTCTACCAATATTTTATACTCATTGCTTCTTATTTTTGCTTCTTGAACTTTCGATATTGTTAAATATGTTTATAAGAAATATTTATATAAGTAAAATTATACAATAAAATGCACAATATCTCATTTGTATAAAAAGCCTGTTTTCTGTATAATCTATAATCACATAAAAAATATCACTTTCTCCAATATGTATTAATAATGATTATAAATATTCCATCTTCTCAAAAATGCGCTATCATTTTATAATTACATTTTAGAATAATATCATTTCTACTAATGTAGATTCATTTTAATCTCGGTTTAATTTATTTTTTATCTATGTCTAATTAGTACTAAAAAATAAAAAATAAGCTAAACTGAGATTAAAGTTAATCTATATTGATAGAAATATTATTTAATTTGACAGTTTCAAGAAAAAAATTAAATCAGATATATTTAGAATATTAAATTTAATACATTACGATCAAATGGCATATACCCATTTTTTACCAATGTAGATTAACTTTAATCTTAGCTTAATTTATTTATCCTTTTCTAAGAATTATTCAAACGCGATGGCGCCGGTTCGTCATTATACATATATGCGCACCACCGATTCACTATTCGTGAAACGATATTATGATGCAACCGAAAAAGAGTCTACAATTAACCATAATGCAAATTGTACATACATATCTGATGATGATGTCGACTCCGTTGTTGTCCATCGAGAATGATTCCATCGAATTTAATCACACACGGAATTCCAATTAATATAAGTAGTGTCGATCGGTCAGCGGGGAAAGGATGATCACAGGTCTGTTCTTTTTAAAGTTAAAATTTTTACAAGGTTCACTTTCTCTTTTTCTCTACCTTTGCTCTTTTTCTCTTTAATGTGGAGAGAAAAGGAAGGAAGATAAAGAAATTCAGCTAAAAAGAACAGACCTCATCTCTCAAGATCTTCCATCGGCGATGACGTCATACGATATTATACGACCGAACCCGATGTGTGAACGTATTATAGCAAATATTTTATGCTCCACGCGATATTCGTTCTCAGGTGATCACGATCGTGAAAATAAGATATGTTTTTTGAGAAATATATACGTAAGTATACTCGCGTGATCCGGAGCGACACGATCTGCGAGACTGCAACCGCCAATAGCGGTAATTCGAACGGAAACGCGACTATCGAGATCTCGAGGGCGCGACGCGCAGCCAATCAGCCGCCAGCTTTTAGCAATCGCAAGAGGTCGTTTCGGTCGTTCGATTACTACGTGAGTCAATAGTCTATAGCTAAACGTCTCGTCGCAGTCATCGCAAGAATCGTAGACGCTGTTGAATCGCTGGCACGCCGAGAATAAAGCGTAAATTTAAATACGACAGTTAGACATAATTCGCGCGATTATTCCGTGGTAGAAGTGGCCGCTATTCGCGCGCGACTTTTCCCCGGACGTCAGATCGCTTCTTGACTTGCGCATTACGAGAAGCCATCTTTTCTCGGTGGCCGCCTCTTCTATCCGGTACACGCGGTCGAGTAATACGTTGGACACGCGTAATCGCGCGCAAACGAAATTTCGAGACGCTTTTCGACGTCGCGGAGATCTCGCTGGTGTTTATGGTGTTGCTGTAACCGCAGTCGCTAGAAGGAAACATGGCGCGTTACGGGCAAAGGCCCGAGAACGCCCTGAAACGGGCGAATGGTAAGTCGTGGGGTTCCGCCTGACGTCCTACACGAGCGTGACATGGCCGATGGCATCAAGTTCCATTGGCCCAAAACACGAAGTTGTGTCCTCCGTTGCTCCCACTCGAGAAATGATCTCGTAGCTCTTCGATCGATCCTACCGCATCGCACAGTGTCTTGGAAAATCGGCGTGCCTTCAAAGCTGCTCGTCTCCCGGTGGAGCTCTCTGACCTCTCCCTCACGACCATATGTGTTCACATCAGATGGATCTCGTAATCATCGGGGTTGCGAAATGTCACGATTATGCTATTTATTCTGAAATGCACGCATAGGACGCGTTTAAAAAAATTCTAAGGTCTAGAAAAAGATCTAGGCCGAGCCTACTACTGTACTTTATCTTATAAATTTTATACTCTTTAGTATTATATATGTGTAGTGCGGATTAGTTTTGTTTTCTGTAGAAATAGGTCTGTTTTCTAATTTAGAAAGTAAATTAAAAAATTAATTTAGTTTCTAAATCAGTTTCTGAACTAGTAAACTTTTTGAACTATAAACTTTTTGAACTTAAAATGAAATATTGTATGTTCGATATTTGACAAAAGCAAGAAAGAAAGTGCAGAGTCTAGTCAAGGAATAAAAAACAGGCTTAAGTTTTGTTCGTGTGGGATGCTCCTATCATAGTTCCTATCATAGTTCCTCACTCAATGAGTGTGTAGGAGTGAGTAAGAACTATGTTACGAACATGGTGGAGCATGTGATGCAGACAAACTTCCAATGTCTCGTATTTTCTCTTGTCATTGAACCTTGTTTGTTACATAAGCAAAGCAAACACTCAGTTATAAATTAATTTGTATGACGTTTTTACTTTTTTTTTTACAATACCTGAATATATATTATATATTTCACTTTGAGTCCAGGATAATGTAACACAATGTAGTTAAACAGTTTTGACAGATTAAAATTAATTTAAAGCTGATATTACTCTCTAAAATTTTTAAAGTGAGAATAAAATCTTATTCTGAAGACTGAAATCTTACTTTTACAGATGGAAAATTGTACAATTTTTTCAAGATTGGCTCAATTTTCATTTTTTAGAGTGAGATTCTACTCAAAAGAATTTAGAAAATACTTTCCGTATAACAAATTTTTCAAGCGCGTTAATAGGCTGCAGGACAAAGAGATTCTCGATTTTGCCTCGATTCTCGATCACAATAAAATATTTTTATATTCGATTAGTCAATTCTTACAACTGCGCTTATGCAATTGTAGAATGAGCTTAATCCCTATTCAGAATTCTTAATAGTTTTGATATCGTTGTCGTTATCTAATTTTTATTTCATATATAAAATATGTGTAAATACTGTGCATTACGATATCAGCATTATCTCGTTGAGAATTACCAAGTAGGGGCTTTGATTGTGAACATTCTATATCTTTCAGCATACATTTAATAATTTTTATAATTATATAAAAATCTATATATTAATTAAAAAATTAATTTAGTCTTTAAATTAGTTTCTGAATAGTTTTCTGATAGTTCTCTTCTTTTTTTTAAACAGAGTTCATAGAAGTGGGTAAACCAGCTCGAGCATTAGATACGTTACAAGAAGTCTTCCGTAATAAAAAATGGACGTACAACTGGTCAGAGTCCGTTTTGGAACCTATAATGTTCAAGTATCTGGATCTTTGTGTGGAACTAAAGAAGTCACACATAGCGAAAGAGGGCTTGTTCCAATACAGAAATATGTTTCAATCCGTCAATGTTGGCAGTTTGGAAAATGTTATACGTGGTTATTTGAAAATGGCTGAAGAGAAGACTAATGCAGCACGCAAACAGAGTCAACAAGCAGTAATTGACATTGACGATCTTGATAATCTTGCCACACCTGAGAGCATCTTACTGTCAGCCGTAAGCGGTGAAGACGCGCAAGACAGGAGCGATCGTACTATTTTAACACCCTGGGTGAAATTCTTGTGGGAATCGTACTGCCAATGCTTGGAGTTGCTCAGAACTAATGCGCATGTAGAAACTCTTTACCATGATATCGCACGTATGGCCTTCCAGTTTTGCCTCGAGTATAATCGTAAGACTGAATTTCGCAAGTTATGCGAGAAATTGCGGAAGCATCTTGAAGAGATATGTAAACTGCCTCCGCTCGTGTCGAATGTTTCTATGAATAAGGCAGAAACGCAACAGTTAAATCTAGAAACTAGATTAAATCAATTAGATTCTGCGATACAAATGGAATTGTGGCAGGAAGCCTTTAAATCTTCGGAGGACGTTCACGGTATGATGAATTTGTCGAAGAAGCTGCCTGTACCAAAAACAATGGCCAATTATTATCAGAAATTGGCTATGGTTTTCTGGAAGGCTGGCAATTATCTGTTTCATGCAGCTGCACTGTTCAAACTTTTACAGCTCTCTCGGGAAATGAAAAAGAATATGTCCTCGGAGGAACAGCAGCGAATGGCCAATCGGGTATTATTGGCAACGTTGTCGATACCGTTGCCATCCGCGCATCCTGAATTTGATCGTTTCATAGAGACTGACAAGAGTCCGCTAGAAAAAGCTCAAAAGCTCGCGACTCTTTTAGGTCTCTCGCAACCACCAACACGCGTCTCTCTGTTGAAGGACATTGTTCGTTTGAATGTTGTCGTTCTCGCGTCACCACAGTTGCAAGAATTATATTCATGGTTAGAAGTGGAATTTCATCCGTTAGAACTCTGTAGCAGAGTCGATTCCGTCATTCAAACGTTACAGGCAGACGAAAACAGTCCGTTAATCCAATACATCCCAGCCTTGCAGGATGTTACACTTGTGCGTCTTGTTCATCAGATTTCTCAAGTTTATCAAACTATACAATTTTCCAGACTCCTGGAACTTGCCAAATTCACCATCGATTTTCACCTTGAACGTCTTTTGGTAGACTGCGTACGCTATAATGACATGCAGATCAGAATAGATCACGGCAAGTCATGTGTTCACTTCGGAGTGGATCTCTCGGAGGCGCAACGAGAAGATCATCCGGACGGTCCGGTATTGCAAGCAATGCCCTCCGAACAAATACGCTGCCAATTGGTAAACATGGCGACCGTGTTACACCGTGCCATTAATGTGATAAATCCTAACAAAAAGAAATTCGAACGCGAGAAAGTACGCAATGTATTGGTTGCTCACTATCATGAAACTAAGATCAAGGATCATCAGAAAATATTAGGCAGGCACAAAATTATCGAGGAGCGAAAGGAATATATCGAGCACATCAATACGGTCCGCGAAGAGGAGGAGATGCGTCGACAGGAGGAACTTCAACGGCAACAAATGTTGGCTGAACAGAAGCGACTGGAACAGGAACGGGAGGAGCGCGAACGAAAGCGTCAGCAAAGCGAGATTCAGCAGATCAAGGATCGCCATCTCAAAGAAAAGATGCAGCAGATTTCACAGACAAGTCACGGGCAAAAGGTGCTGAAGAAACTAGATGAGGATGAAATTAAAAAACTGGACGCGGAACAAATTGCGGCGCGGGAAGCTGAAGAGCTACAGAAAGAGCGCAGAGAAATGCAACAGAAGCTCAAGTCCCAGGAAAAGAAAGTCGATTATCTGGAGCGTGCTAAACGACTCGAGGAGATTCCACTGCTGGAGAAGGCCGTGCAGGACAGGATGCAACAAGCGAAACAACTCTGGCGGCAACAGGAAGATGAGCGAATTGCCGCAGCTATCGAAGAGAGACAGGAGGCTGTCGCGACTCAAGAGCGCTTAGCGCGTATGAAAGAAGATCACGGCATTTTCTTAGCTAAGATCTTAGCTGAGCGTAGAAACATATACACAGAAAAACTGAAGGAATTTGAGAAATTATTGAACGAGGAGCGCGTTAAGCGATTATTGAAGCGCAAAATGGATCGTAAAGCCGAGCGTAAGGCGAAATGGGAGAAGGAGCGTGCGGAAGCTGCAGAACGAAGACGATTGGAAGAATTGCGTATCAAACAAGAAGAGGAAAAGAAACGTCTTGAAGAGGAAAGAGCTAAGAGAGAGGAGGAGGAGAGAATCAGACGAGTTGAAGAGGAAGCCAGAGAAGCCGAACGTATGGCTAAGCTTAAGAAACAAGCTGAGATTATTAGAGCTAAGGAAGCTGAAATTGAACGTAAATTGGAGGAAGAACGATTGAGAGATAAAGAACTGACTTCAACATGGCGGCGTGGTATGGATAATGATCGTGATCGCGATCGTGATCGTGATCGTGATCGTGATCGCGATCGTGAACGTGAACGTGACCGTGATCGCGATCGTGATCGTGATCGTGACCGTGAACGCGATCGCGATGGTCCGAAACCTTGTGAGTACAATACATTTTCATGTTTTCTCATTATATATTTTCGCAAATATCGATGAAATTTAATTTGTATTATTTTGTTGTATTATTACTAGCGATGGAGTCATGGCGACGTAATCCTGACAAAGACTCTGATGGACTCAAAAACGACACAGATCGCTGGAGGAAACGCGATGACAAGATTGAGGATTCTTCATGGAAGAGAAGGGAACCAGAAAGAGAACCACGTCGTGATATGGACAAATGGAGAAGAAACGATGACTCGGACCGATGGAAGAAGGATACTATGGAAAAATGGAGGAAAGATGATAATTACGATAGAGAAGATTTAAGAGATCGAGATAGGCTAGACAACCGTGGTTTCGACAAGAGAGATGATCGTGATCGTGACCGTGACCGTGACCGTGACCGTGAGCGTGGAATAGAAGGACGTGGAGTAAGTATACGTTCTGCATCTTAATCCAATACATGTTACATATACTGTAAAATATTGTCTATACGTAGAATTTCTTTTTCTTCACTTGTTGCTTTTTTAATTTATATTTTATTTATTAATTATATAAATTATATTTACCCTTATTCTTTGGATACGTGTATTTTTTAATAATATTTCTATTTAATTGAAATTGCAGATACGCGAGATTCCACGTGACACAATACGCGATGATCGAGATAGAGATCGTGATCGTGATCGTGATCGTGATCGTGGTAGAATGTCCGATCGCCGTGGTGGTTACCGCGATCGTCGTGATGAACCAGCACGGCCAAATACTAATCAGGACTGGCGGAAACGCGACCCGCCTCAAGATTCCCCAAGAGACCCACCCAAGCGCGAGTTAGTATATATAAAGAAAATTTAATAATAATATTTAATGTAAATAACAAGCATAACAATAAAGCATAACAATCGTACAAATGTTATACAAATTTTGAGCGAATTTCGTAAACATTCATTAAGTTTTAAACAATGATTAAGCTTAATTAAATTTTAAGCTTCAATTTCATTGTATATTTCAGACGAGAGGATCGTAAAGATGACAGACTTCCGCCTAGATCTGACGAGAGAAGGCGACCATTAGAGGATGATGGTTGGTCGAAAGTTAGTCGGCGCTGACATCAAAGCCTCAGTTAATCACATGTACACATACACACACACATGTAGCTTTATATAAGTTTATTATTCTCTAAAGATATATTATATACATGAATAGACTTTTTATCTAATACGGAAGTCTGTCCATTTTTATTATTTAGTGTGTGGCTTTATTCTTCCAGACAAGAAAGTGGGAGGGAAATAACTTTAGTGGTAGATGTATAGCGAAAATTTTAGAAACAAGATATTTTGGTTAAATGCATTAAACTATATTGATTACTATGCAAAACACAGAAATAACATCCACATTTGAAATATCTGAAATATCCAATATAAATTCAAATTATTTAAGTCATTTAGATGTTTCAAATTTACACAGATTCGTTATTTTTTCTGTTTTGTATGTTGATCATTCTGTTATCATAATCAAAATATCTCGTTTCAAAAAATTAGAGAAGATATAGAAATATCAATAAAATTCTCTTCTATCCTACCCATTCATTAGATTTTTTTTTACATTGTCCCGCGTCTTATCACACATCTTTCCTTACGAGGAAAATGTACGACTCCTAATGTACATTTTCTTTCCATCGCATACCTACGAGCGATTATCCTTGTATATAATATATATGAAGCCATTTACGTGAAATAGATTATAAGAACGAGAGGATCTCGAAATAATAGAAAAACTAAAGTACGTACGAAGTTGTACAATATTCTATGACCTGTTCACTGTTTTATTATTATATTACGTCGCGACATCATTGTAATATACTCTCGAGGTGCAAACTTTTTATTGTATTTACATTTCATGATACGTTCCACGTACGATTTGCCACGGTAATGAAATTGATAAAATCGTACATTTTTTATAGAAGTAACAATCTCGAGAAATAATAACTGTTAAAAATATTAAATGTCTCGAAGAAAAGGCACGCCATGCTTAACTTATAAAATATCCTCTTTAACTAAATTATAGATAGTAGTATATATATATAAAATACAAAAAGTATATATATTATCGTTCTCGAGAGCCCAGTCTAGTCAAAACAATCGCCTTTGTAAAAAAAAAGAGAAAAACATAGTGCTAAATAAGAATATAAGAAAAGAATTTTAACTTACAAAATATATCGGAAGATAACTCGATAATAAAAATGATATAACTGTATACCATTTGAATTCGTATCGCATAATTTACATACACATCTGTATACGAATGTTTATATACTACCAATAATAAAACCTTAACAAACTGAAGTCCGAAACGATAATTGTCTAGATTGCGGCCTTATTGATAAACAACTAATGTATAGATTAAGCTATAATAAAGCGTTTTTCCATGCTCAATCTCGTCTTTTTATGCCATATAAAGCGAATAGCGCATAGCTTTCGATCGTTGTTAGACATAAAATACTCGTTTTATGATTATTATCGCTTTGAAATCATGAGTATTACGAACTGACATAATATCAATGCATAAAATATATCGAAATGTATACATTATATAATACTACACGTAGGCGATACGTATCATCACATTCCAACTCTTATTTCGACATATATGGCAAGTACTGTCCTTTATTAGCGCATCTCGCGCTTTAAATGTACTTGCTGTGTTTATATTTGCGTTTATATTTGCGTTTTGATATAAAATTGCACAATATCTGTTACAAAATTGAATTGTATCTAGGAAAATGATTACAAACGCCTAGCAAATAACTAGGAACTGTGCGAGGCACAAATCTGTGAACGAAAATTCTATCTTAACTAATTAATCTCAACTACTTTTCAATCTCGATATAGATACTATCAATTCGATATTATACATAATAACGTAATTCAATCGTAGTCTTGCAATTTTTAAACTATTATAACGTTTAATATAACATAATCGCTGCGGCAGTTTTCTCTTCAAGTGCAGGTATTGGTTCTAGACGATCATCCTTTTCTCTACCTGAGCCCCAGCCAACTAATGCTATGCTAATGAGATGTACAATCCCAGCGCTAACTACGAGCCTAAATGGAAAAAATATTCAAAGAATAAGAATAAACTAATTATTTCAAATTTCAAGCTATTGAATTTAATTTAGTAACTAATTATAAGTAAAAAATAATGCAAATGAGAAACACGCTGAGTTGTCACATATGAACTTTAATTTAGAAAAGAAATTTGTTTTCAATTCCAAAAATTCTAATATTTACGATAATTGTATAATAAAAGATTAAATCAGTTAACTGATTTGAATAGCACATACTTATCTGTATAAATTATTTTTCTTTAATATTAAAATAATTAACAATCTAAGAAATTTAACTCTTTCTTGTGACCATTACAATATTAATTAAATACTTGTAACTGAATTGCAAAAGTCGAAAAAAATATAATAAAAATATTTAAATCATAATTCATTTCAATAGGAAAAATAAGAACAGAAAAAAATTCTGATTCTCAATAGATGTTTAATTTAAAGAATAACAGTTTTATCATGTAAATGTAAAGATTATATATATCTTTCTCTTACCAAAATGAATAACCGAGCTCAGCAGAACCTTCACTGGTCCACATATTATCGATGTCCTCCTTCGGAAGCACATTAACGTATAGTCTCGTATAGTATTGCGCTAACCAAGTACAAGTGCTTGCTAAGCACATTAACACTAAAAATAAGTCACGAATAAGAGTCCATATTGCATATGATATGCAGTAATTATTTATAAGTTCAATATATTTTTTAGAGCTATTTAATTTTTCCCATTTTTTTATACGAGCTTTGTGATTCTCTATTTTTAAAACCTTATTAAAATTAGCGTTATAAATTAAAAAAATTATTTAATACAGACAGATGTGGTAAATTAATCTGTGAAATATTGAAAAAATAACAGTTCTGTTTTGATCATTTTTTTTAGAAAACATTTTTTTATAATTTAATAAAATAGCGTTAAAATACTTACGCATTAACATATTTATAAAGTATACACCAGGAATGGATAGAATCTTCGATCTTGGGGAAGTAGCTGTATTTAAAACTGCCAAAAGTGCAGCAAGCGCAGCCGCTACCAAAGCAGCCGAAGTCGTTGTTAAAGTAGCGATCCAAAGAGCCCAAGACATCACCGATGGATCTTGTCGGATCATTTGAGGAACTGAAACATTATTAAGATTTTTATTGTTTAATAATTTTATTCCAAACAAATGCAATTCCAATCATAACTAAAGGTCTGTTTTTCTGTGGCTGAACTAGTATACTGTGGCTGAACTAGTATATAGTTTAGTTTTTGAAACTAAAATGAGAATGGTATACATAGATATCTTCGATATTTGGCGAAAGTGAGAAAGAGAGTGCTAATGCAGTCTATTACAGGAATAAAAACAGATCTTAAACTAATCTATAAAATTTGCTTTTAAACTGATCTATAAAATGTATTATAATTATATATATAAATAACCAATTATTTTTTTAATGCTGTGATAAACTAAATTTATAATATCTTTTTTAAATTTTTGAATGCTACAATTAAACTCTTTTTGTAATAATTATATATTTAATAATTATAATTATAATTATATATATATATTTTTTTTTAAATATTATTTATAGCATTTCTACAATTTTTATATTATGTGCCATCAATAATCTGCACCACTGAAGTAAATTTAAATTACTACTGCAAATGTAACAGAAACGAGGACTTCGATTATGCAAGCGTTGCGTAATGTCCGAAAATTGAAACAGAGCCAGCTCTCGAGCGATTAACTTTACATATGAAAATATATCTTCAGTAACGTCATACTTGAAAATATCCACAATGCTTCGCTACTTCTGACGTCTTTCGTTGATGCGGATGTATTGCACGCCGTGGAAACTAAAAGCCGCTGCTATCGTATTTTATATTCGTGATATACACTCGAGAGTGAAAGAAGGAATATAAGTAGGAATATTTCGCGCATTACGCTTCCAGGATACGACGAAGTTTCCGTGAGACATTTCAACTTACGACAGCGTGAATAACGGATCATTGCGTTCGTTGGAGGCGGCAGCCAAGTTCCACGAGTAGCGTCGACTCGAAAATGTATCTACTACTAATGTACTCAAGTACTCAAAAACTTATCTGCCGGTAGTCGTGTTATTCCTATCGTTTCAATTCAAATGCTGCAACATTTCTCATTTCTATATGTCCCAACATCATTTCTATGGCCAAAATTAAAGTTGCACAATGTAAGACAACATTAGAGTTCATCAATTTCAATTTCTAAAATTCCTTATTCTTATCGAATTTATTATCAGATTTAAAATCAGAGTAGCTCTTTCATAAATGTACGAATAATCTAATTTTTGTTTACATGATGATTGATGACGTCGTAATGCATTACATACTGAAAATACTTCTAGGAAATGCACTTCGTAAATGTTGAGACATAACGTAAGCTGTGAACACCGCGATCAGGTGGAATTATATATCGACCGCTCCTTTATCTCTCTCTCTCTCTCTTTCTCTCTCTCCCCCTCTTCTCTCTCTCTTCTTTGGCCCGCATAAAATTGATCGCGTACTAGAATCCGATACTCTTACTGCGGTCAGCATCAGTAACGCTCGATGATACGAGTAATGCGGAGGCACATGAAAGTAGACTATGAGGTTTGCTCGTTGATTTTTCAACGCTAAAAACTAGTTTCCGTGTCTATTGTTACCCGCATACGTCTCGTAACTTGATGGTTTTTTGTTATATACATGATAACATGCAAGCATGCACATGCCTGCGGTTTTATACTGTGAGAGAAATTCAAACGTGCGTATATATACTCGCTCCCAGAGATATGCTACGCTCGAATTATACGCGAATTACACGCTCGAATTTCTCTCTAAAATACCGCCTCTGTCTCGTTCCTTAACAAAATTAATAAAATCTGAAACGGTTTCATTATAATTATTTTATTCATCTCAATTGGATTTTTTGAATAAAGAGATCAAGATATTAAAGTTATCTAAATAGGATTTTAATTTAAAACTTATGAACACTAAACTTTTGACATATATATAAATAGTAACATATATGATATGACAAATAATAATACACAATGTCATGACGAATTTTCATCTATGTAAAGGAAGTAAGTAAGTACTTAAGATTCATCATTTTTTCTGTAAAACAGATAACGATTCAATTCTCATACAATTCGACTAGAAGATATTAATGATAGGTTAATTTTTTTAAATTAGAATCTGGAAATTCGTGTTCTACATAATTCGCAATATGACAATTGTTGCTGCAACATTGTTGTACGATGCACCTTCACAAGATGAAAGAACATGTTTATACATAGTTATATTACACGACGGCTGAATTTAATGTCAGATATATGTAATTCTGCGTTTTAAAAATATTTGTGAATTTACCGAAGATGGCCAGATTGTGGCCGAAACGTCTAACGTTTTATTAATGTAATGATAATTAAATATCACAAACAATATCTTGTGCTGTGATCTTATGCTCTTCTTTTCATAAGTTTTGATTTATAAATCAAATATCACGTTCGTTTTAATTATATATTTTAATTTAAAGTTTAATATAGTAGTAATAATTAAAAAAATATAAAATGACTTCTTTTGATAATTTTTTCGAAAAAAATTCTTTTCAAATTGGCCAAAACGCTGCGATTAAAAGAATACCTGGTGGAATACGTAATCGTAGAATGCATGTTTACGTAGGTATCCCTTCGGACCCATTACCCGCCTGAATGAAAGAGAAATGTTTCTCACAGCGCGTGCCAGCGATTCTGTTGTTCTTTTCCGGAAGTACGGCATAATAGCTACGTAAAAGTCGCTTGCTCATCGGAGTGATTATTATGCATTGTGCATAAGAAATTTATCTTTTTCGCGCGTGACATAAAGTACCTTTAATTCACAAAAGTGCAATTGGCGGATGTGGCAATACTAGAAACGGATCAGATTTCTTGACATTGAGACAAGATAAAAATTTAGTGATATACAAGTTTCGAAAATAATCCCGAAATTTGAGCAAAAATTTAATTGATAAATCATTGTGTGTGTGTGTTATATACATTTGCAAGATCTTTTTATGAACTCCATCTCTAAAAACACTATTCTAAGAAGAGCTATGCTATGAAGAGTGGATGTTTTCGGTTGAGTGCTTCGACCGCTATTGTGTTAGTTATAGCACGATAACAGTTTCTTCTCGTAATAACAATAACGATTTAAAACAAAAATATAATTAAAGAAGAAATGAATATAATTAAATATAATTAAAAAAAAACTTCACTACAAAAGAGAAATTTTATTAATCGAAAAACTTGATAATATTCTGTATAAAATACGTTTTACTTTTATTAAAAGTAATTAATTATGCTATATTAAAAATATTAAAAATAATGTTCTACGTATAACTTCACGCGTAAACAAAATTTGCAATAATTAAGACTTGCGTTAAAATCTTCCATCAGTGCGCTCGTGAATTTTGTATTTTTTTTTTTTTTTTCGAAAGTTATTGCGACCACTCTGAGCATCCATTACAAAGGATGTTGCGATGCATCCATCGATGATACAACTGTTTCGATCGGTACGCGAAATCAATGGAATGAATTTAACGACGATTACCAAATCAATGATTTATCACACACGCATGTACGATCAACTACAGGCATCATCGGACACTGAATAGAACTCTAATGCACTCAGTTATCAGTCGCAGATTTATTGTCCTGGCTTATACCAGTAGGTTCCATCATCCATGAGCCTTTCTCTCGCGGATATCTCCGTGCGATCACAATTCGTCGTGCGAGTCACTCGAATAGCACAGTTTGAAAAGAATCCAACACGATCGCACAATACTCGGATCTCGTTACGATTTACAAAGGTGTCACGAGATAATCACCCTCGATGGAGTAATTCCGGCGAAAAATAAGAGCATTAAAGAAAATTGCTAGGAATTTATTTTACGAGATTGGGTAATTCTAGAAACCAAAAAAAGTAATTTTAAAAACAGAATTTTAAATATACTCTTCTAGTTATCCTTGTTTCTCGTGAGACAAATGAATGATTTTCTTTATATTATAAAATTTAACGACATACATTTTTTTTAATTTTTAATCTTCATATAAAGATTAAATTATTTCATGTATTTTTGTTAAAATATTCCTTATAAAACGGATTTCCTTCAATTTCTTTTAATAGATTGAGTTTATTTATCCTCATCCAGAAGAGACTTGTTTCAACCAGTATTTGCTGCATAATTATATGATATACGCTTAAAATAGCAAGTTGTGGAATACTCTGCATATTACTGCATCAAACTTCACGTAATTTGAAATCTTAGCTAACGATAATAATATCTTGCAGCCAATCAATTTTCGATTAGAGCACGCACGATTAATGTTCAAAATATATACCGTTCAAGGTTACAATATATATATAATTCTCTGTCAAGAGAAAGATCAAGTAATTACGCGCAAAACGTAATTGATGTTGCACAAAGGGAAAGGTGGAAAGACCAACATACCGGATATATGATATGTCCTCCATCCATAGGCGACGTTTAATTCCTTTTTACCCTGTAATAGACCGAAATGAACTCTGCCAGCGCTCTCTTGTGGATTCGGCGTTCTCCATGGTCGTGCCTCGACCCAATGCTGTGTCACAAGGGCGGCGCAGACAAGTCCACCGCCCAACAATGACAGGAAGAAGGTCGCGAAGATCGTGCCTCTTCGAAACATCGACGTCATCCTCGGATCGCGAGATGATCCAGCTTTCGAATAATTTGCGAGCACTGCGAAATAAAAGAGCAAAGATATAAAAAAGATTTAAAAAAGAAATCTTCTTTTAAATAAAAAAATATGATATATCATATTCGAAAAGAAGACTTTTTTTAAATAAAAAATTTAATATATCATATTTTTTACATTTTCCATACGGAAATATTCTTATACTACAAAAGTATTTAATAATACATATTATATATATATTTATATACAGTTTCCACACATAATTTCACGATTATAAATATAGATCATCTTCATAAAAATTTTTAAGTACTTTAAATTTTAGAACACATAATTGGATTATTCGTGTCTAGCACTTTCTTTTCTTCGAAAAATTAGGAGCATCGCATAATTAGTTATAACATTTATGTACAATTATTTTAAATACACAATTTTATAAATATTGTTTAGAGATATTAAAGTACATAATAATTTTTGAATATTTGTTAAAATGATGAAAATTAACCCGTGACACAAATGATCCATCGTGGATAGTAAAGGACTGGACAATCGTGTGTACTAAAGGTTAAGGTTAAAACTTTCCTAATATCAAATTGAAATAAAGAGTAAAAGTTTCTTATCTATTAAAAACCGCTAAACGTACTTCGCGAAAAACTCTCTTTATACACATTCTCTTTAGATCTCCTGATTATATCTTTCCCGATTATATCACTTCCTTTTCTGATTACGTTAAGAATATTTTCTCACTTTGCCAAGCATGTCAAAATTATGACCAGCCAACAGAAACCCATAAAAATATTCATTTGAAAAAATTCAAATGAATACACACCTTTTCTTCCTTCGTTCGCGCTAAAGTAAAAATACCTTTCATCCTCTATCCTGCATGTAGCGCGAAAAGCAAACGTCTTCGCGATCTCTGCATAGAGCAGAGTCTCGCCTCGCTGCATCTTATTAACATCATCCGCGCGTTACACCGCGTACATGAGAACTTACCGATGCCGCTACCGTCAGAATAACAGTACAAATTTTTAACGTTGGAAACTTCGATCCTTCTTGTGCAAACGAAATGAAATAACGTTATTGCTCTGTCTGAGAAAAATTCTTTCGCGATACGCGTTACAATAATTTCAAAAAAAAAAACCAGAAAAAATCGGTAAAAATATATTATTAATTTTAAAAATATAACGAAAAAATACGCTGAAATAAACACAATAAATTTGTTAAATTTATTTACATTCGTTGAATGTTAACTAAGTTTTGATGTATTTAGCCAAACTCATATAAACACAGAATTAATTATATATAAAGTATTTCGCACAGTTCATTCGATCTACAAATTCTTCAATAAATATTTTGAATACTCAATTATTTGATTACGATTGGGTGAATTATCATTAAAGATTAAATGTCAATTGCATTGTATTTAGAAGTGTCAATTTTATTGTTTTCAGAAAACAATGAAATGACTTTTGCGACGTTTTTCAGCTTTCGTATCACTATGCATCGGTAGAGCTTATTTTCTTTCTCTCTAGAATAGTCTAGAACAATGTTTTCTCCATCGTTTAACTGACCGGAGACGCATGCGACATGCTCATGTTTCCACGCAAAAAGAGAGAGAACACACAAGACGTGGGCATCGGCAATCCACTTGACGACAGTCACTATTTAAATTATGCCACACAGAAACTATGCCGCTTTCGCAACAATTATCCGGTCTGATAGAAGAATCTGCGGGTGTGAAAGCGTCTTGAAAACGAAGCACTCAAAGCTTCAATATTTTGTACAGCCATTATATAAAAATAGCATCCACAGGAAAATATAATATTTCGGACATATAACGCGAGATAAAATTAATTAATAAAATATAAAACAATTTTCAGAGCTGACAAGAAAAAAATGCTAGTAAAAATTGTCAATTTTGCAGAAGATATTTTCATTTCTGATAGACTATTAATTACAATAATTATACTCACATTACACATAGCTCAATTTATGCGCATATTCTCTATACTTTAAATATGTAATTCAATTATGTAACAATAGTTAAACATAATAGACTATTGAGAGAAAAACGTTACTGAACCGATAAATCATAATAGTGCACATATAGTTGCAAATATTGCAAAAATTAATTTTATTAAATTAATTCATCAAACGAATCATGCTTCATATAATTGAATTAAATCAATAATTCAACTAAAGATCAAATTATATAATAACTAACAAGTTTACCTTCAAATCGTTTAGATATTTAAAAAAATGAGGATTACATGCCGAAGATTACATAAATTATTTTTTAGAAGCACAAATTTAAAGCGGTTTGAAAGTAAGCTCTTCAATTTCACTTTCTGTGAATTGAAAGAACGCGTGGTTACCTTGACCCTGACTCTCCGCGAAGTGCACCTGGTTCAGACTCCGCGAGAACTCGCCCTGCTTGACCTTCTGCGAGAAGTCGGCGTTCCCGAGTTTCTTGGAGAACTTGACACGATAATTGTTGCCGCGCGGCTTCGCCGCCCTTAGCAATGACGACGCAGCGGGTTTCGGTCTCTTGGCAAAGGTGTACGGGATCGTGTAAGGCTGCGCCACGTAAAAGTAGATCGGCCGATAATCCTCGTGAGGCTGCGGCTGCTGCACATTGAAGCCGCCACCGTTGATGTTTGTGCAACAACCGGTGCTGGTGTACACGCTCGGTGCGCCGTTGCTGCACGCGTACGAGTTCGCGTAATGCACCCCGTAATGGTTCGCCGTTTTTCGTGAATTACCTTCCACGGTTCTCAATGAAAAAGAAAGAAAGGTATGTACCGCTAATCCCACCTCTGATAGCGTTAGATTTTTTTCGGGATCTCTTTTAGAATCTTCTTCAGAGATCTTGATGATGCGCTTTCTACTGCCTTCTACAACGATCTCTTTACGATGCGATTATTCGAGATCATTTCCGGCAGTGTCCGTTCCGCTGGCAGATTGTCTACCGATCTTTGAATGAAAAGAAATGATCTCGTCTTCAAAGAGTCGCTTTTCTCTTATTTATTAAACCATGCGTCCTCTTGTACTTTTGTTTGTTATTTTTTCAACAGGTCAGATTCGAAAAGTTTTTAAATCGCGGAAGAAATTTGGCATTTTCTTCTTCTTCACTTCGCGAAATCGTTTCTCAAATACGGTAAAAATATTCTTTCCGTGACTCGCGGAGTACATCTACCTGAGTTAATAGAAAGAGAGTGTTCTTTAAAAATGAGGGCTTAGCGTTAATCTCAAGCTGAAAGTCGAAGCCCCCGCGGTAGTGTCGCGGTGCTCCTCTTTCTCTCCTTATCGCAGGAGTTATCAGAAGCCACAGGTGGTGGATTGCGAAAAGCCGTTCGGCTGTGGATACCTCCACGATCTTTTATTACATATATTTCGATGGCTGCCGGCTCGCGAAGTTAGAAAAGAAGAATTCTTCACTTTAGCTCGTCGCTTCAGAGAAGTTTCTCTCAATTCGAAGGCAACGTGTGTCGCTGAAATTACAGCGCGACAATTTTCTTGCTCCTTTGTTTCCAATCAAATCCTATTGTGATTTCTAGGAATTCTGAAACGTCGGCGCTTCAGAATCCACCTCGAGTACCGTTTGATGTCGGGACTTCTCAATGGTACCTTGGAAACGTGTGTTTTTTTACCACGTGAGATCTCACGGTGTGTCAACTGTAAAAGAAAGCAATACGTTAGGTGATTAAATTACACTAAATTTCACTGTGTAAACTGTGTTAACTGATGAATGATTTTGCTGCAGTATCTAAAAATTTAACTAGATACAGATCTGAAAATGATTTTATTAGATCATTAAAATAATTATGTACCCTTAAGCTGGTTGCTAAAATGTTAAATTTTAGCAGCTTGTATTTTCGACATAGTTATTTTGATGGCCCAACAAAATTACTTTCAAAACTAATTAAATTTTTAGATCTAATTAAATATGAAGAATTCTTATTTCTAATCGAAGCGGATCTTAATTGCTTTAATTACTTTGTGTGAATTTATATACCTACATTTCTGATTTTATAAATCGCTTGTCAAATTGTATTTTTTTTGGACTTGAAATGCATTCATGTTAGAATAGAAATATCACACATTAAATTGTGAAAGCAATTTAATAATTTTTTATGATAATAAGCATCTAATAAGACTTAATTAGATTTATTACCTAGTCGGTCTTATTTTAAATTTAAATTGTAATTATTTAAATTTTTGGACTTCAGCATTCTTTCCGTGAGAAAACACAAAGATGGAACAGTGACAAAAAAAATATATGAAGAGGAAGTACAATACTTCTGTTAGAAATTCTAGACAACCATCAAAGTACAATGAGTTCTTAGAAAGTAATGCGACACATTTATTTTCTAATCCTTAAACATTATTTTCTTATAGCTTAAATTGGCTTAAAATACCAACAGTCTAAGACATCACGTTTTATTCTCAACGTCGTGAACAAGTACATGCATTACACGATCTCGCATTATTTTAATAATAACATAAGGATTGTTTTGTACTTTCTTTTAGGATGTCTTTCTGGACGTCTCTATGAAAATAGAAAGTTTAAAAACAAAAGCATTTAAAAGGTAAGAATTATTAAATAAGCATATTTAGAATTTAAATAAACTCTTTCTTCAATTCTCTCTCTTTTTCAACTTCAAAGTTTTACATGAAACCAAGAAGAAACAAAGTTTTAGCATTACTAAGGTAACGCCTTTGTATGAAAATTCCAAGAACAAAATTGACAAACAGCACAAATAGAAGCTGAGAGACTGTTGGGAAAATAGAGTTTCATTTCGCATTGACCTGAATTTGAATTGAAAAGTCAGACAACGCTGGCGTATATTTTTAGAGTAAAAATACACAAATCTACCGAGCTGCCTTCCGTTTAAGATCGCGCGAAATGGAATGAGAAAATTTCATTGAGGATGCGGAAAAAGCGGAGAAGATACGGAGAGCTTCGTATTTTCTCCGAGTTCGAACCGAGTCTCACACTGGGTTTTATAAGCTACGTAACAACTACTTAAAGTCTCAACGTTAAAATAAAATGAAACGAATTGCTAATGATCTGTAATAAGCAGGCAACCGCGGGACAATCGCTAACGGTATGATAAAATTTAAGAGGCGCGATGTGTAATAACCGTTTCTTGCTATCTGACATTTCTCAAGTGTACTTCATTACTGCTGGAAGAAACTTTGTTATTTGCCGTTAGTACGTCAAGATTTACATTTACATCTTTTTCATGGTTAAATATTATAACTACATGTATTAGAACTAAAGTTGAAATGGTCTGCCAAAAAAAGATCACAGAAGGCAGAACGTCGGTCGGTTTAAACTCGAAGAGAGATAATTTAATGTTGTTTGTATTTAAGTTTTTACGTAACAGCTGTTCAAAATAATTTCTCTCTCATTCCTTGTCATTCACGAGACTTGAAAGAGAGGATTGAAAGAAACAAATGAAATTATTGTCCCGAAATTTTCATCTCGAAATCGTGCAAACGTTTGTTTTATATCATTTTAGTTTATTTATCGATGTTGCGGAAAATGAGTTTAAGCAGAGATTCATGCATAATGCTGTCCTGCAACATTCTTGACAGAACTGGAGCAGCAATTGTCGCGACGTAACGTATTGCATGCGCGCCGCTGCATATTATTAAATGCGGACTTAAATGTACACCAAGTATTTTCCTATTACTATCCAAGCTATCTCCGTTAGCTGTGACGTAGGAAATATTCGATCGAAGGAAGGGAAGGAAATTCCAGAGCGTAAAACAAATTCCATTCTCTCAAATGAGCGAAACTCGACGTATCTGCGGGATAGGAATATAGTTTTGTTAATTTATTGAATTATATGATAAAGAAGTTCATTAATCTCTCTGGTCTTTGATTTTTATTTGTACAGGACATGCTAGGCAGACCGGATTATAGGATACGATAATTGGAAAATATTAAAATGAAACGTTTCTTTCTCTCTCTTCAGTAGATTTCATGTATAATATAATACATGTATATTTAATATAAAATATAAAAAAACAAAATATAACAGATAAACATATGGAAAAAAAAAGAAAACAGAGTATTCATTATTACTTTTATTATTATGCTTAATATTTTACTTAATGAATATTTTGATGAATTGTTACTATTCTAGAAAATTTTCAAATTGACTCAATTGGATTTTAAATTGACAGCCGCTTTGAAAGTAATCGCGAGCTGCCGGTTTTCTGAATGTTCGCGAACGAAATTCAGAGATGGATCCAGATTCAAGACGCCAGTACGTCGGTAAATGTCGAAAAGACATAACCGTCGGATATAAAATTGTGCGAAATTGTTCGTGTGGCCCGTGAGATAAAATGAGTTTTGACATGACTGCTCCGCACCGTGTCGGATTCGCATGACCCGGCGCGATATGACAAACGATTGTGCGCGCACACGCGTGACGGAAGTGTTATCACGAGACGACGTAAGAGCGAAGAAGACGAAGGAATGCACGCATACACGAGAGGAATGGGTTGACGAGGTAGGATGAATGCCGTTAGACCGTGTCACGTCGCGACTACATACGCGTTGTGTGAAACATCGTCGCCTAGGAGGAGAAGTAGAAACGGACGGACCGAAGAAGGGAGACGGAAACAAAGAGAGAGTTCCAGGATCGGAATCTGCACGATCCCGATTGTCTCCACGCGAAATCAAACCTGTCACCAGTGAGTTTCGCCGACCGGAGACGCCGAGACATTCTATCAAATTTAAGCGATTGTGAAAATAGAACAAGTATTTTATATCTTAAACTGATATTTACTACGTGCGTGTTAAAATGCTAATTTTAGCCTTCATCAATTGCTAAATTTATTATATTCAATTAAATAAGAGAAATTCTATATTCGGTCAACACAAAGTAGATCTTATTATTTATGTGTGAATTCATATACATATCTGATTCTGCAAATTTATATAATGATTGTTCATTATATTCATTTGTTAGGATTGGGAAATTACTTTACATATAAGTGTATGTTAGAAATTAAATATAAAAAGTAATATAAAACTGGAACAAATGATAAAATATAATACAAAAAATAAAATACCCGAACTTACTTATCGTACTCAATTTTTATAATAAAAAGTAACTTATAAGCAACTTGTAAAGTAATTTTCCCTACCTTATCATTTACATATTTTAACGTACTATAATTAAGATTAAAACATTTGAGATAGAACAGATTGCAAATGATAAGTCAAAATTTATTAATTTATTAATTTAACTTAAAACGCTTAATAAAACAATGAATATAAAAATATACGACGTCAATTATTTTTCTGTACTGAGAGAAAAATATACTGAATTTTAATAAATATTTGTTTCAACAATGAATATTTATTAAATATAAATATATATTTATTTGGTACAAGAACCATAAATTTGATTTAACTTTGATTAATTATTATTATTTTTTATTTAGTAAATATTTATTTACCAGATATAAGTGTTATATTAATAAGTAATATTCAAACAATTATTTATTAAAATTTTTAGTACATTTTTCTCCCAGTACGTAAATTATTGGAAAAGTCATTAACACGAAAATCTTAAACTTATTTTATAAAAACAAGAGTATAAATAAAATTGTGAAATAAATATTTTTTTAAACAAGTATTTTTGCGACTATAATGTGAATGTACAACAATTAGGAAATAAAGACTCTAAATGGTCAAGATAAATCTTTAATGCTTAAATAATTCGGTGTGAGTTTATATCATATCTGTAAATTGCGAGTCGAATTTAATTTGAAATGCAATCTAACAGAATTAGAGTAATAATATCAAAAATTAAATTGACATGCTATTTAATAATATTGATGCTCATAGGTATTTCAGAAAGATCTTAATAAATGCTGATCTTAAAACCGATAAATAATTTTATTTTTAACCTATAAATATTTTTTACATCTTTACGCTTTTTTTTATCTTTATACTTCATTTTAAGACCTGTAGATAATTTTAATTTTAACGTGTAAATGTTTATTTGATTTTTATATTTGCTTCGTTTTTCTATCGAGGACATGATATTCTCCATATCATTTCTTTTTCTCGGTCCACGATCCGTTGGATGTTGACTCGTCGTTATAACCGGTTCGGTGATCGGTCCGTTCGCGCATTTTTCTTGCCGTACGATGTGCGTGCCTCGCACATCGTGACGCAACTTCGTCGACACATATTACCCTCGAGATATCAGACAGAGAGATGCACCACAGCCTGGTACATCCTGCGCAAAACTAGGACACACAATCGACCACAGGGTGTCTCTCCTCTCTACGAAATGTCCTTCGAGACCTACGAATTCCGAGCAATGATTCTCCGCGATTCTCTCCGATCGAACCCGACCCTGATGATCTGTTTTGACTTGACCTAGAAAAAGCGGATCCATCGAAGTTCTTCACCGGGTGGAACCGGCGGCTTTCAATTTTTGTAAAATCGCACCGTAACGCCAGATCGCATTCAAATGTAAAACTTTTATCATGCAACGCGGAATGCGCGCCGCGATGCGCCGATCGTCGCGGACGCGATGCAACAGCTATCCCATGAATAATTTAATGCCCGACATAGTTACATTGTTGTGTACTAATGGCATTGTGCGCGACACGTCGATCTCGCGCAGATCGGCTCATTATCATTGCGCATTCCTCGCTTTATTTCGAAATAAAGATGAGACAATGGTCACCGACACGAATGCAAATTCAGGAGCGGCGCGTGAAAACGGAATTCGATATCGGTTCTTTAAATTATGATGAATCAGTTTGACATTCATGCACCGCGTCTAATATATTTAAAGATTATTCCTCCAGACCTGATTTTTTATTGAAACCATATTAAAAAAAAATTTTTTTTTAATCCAATTCATGCGCACTTCAATATTTAAGTGATTCATACTAGACAATTAATTTTTTTCAAAATTTCGACTATTTTTCCAATATACATTATTGTGTGGATCAGATTTCAGATGATGTCGATAGAATAAAATAATTTCAACGGGTAATGTTTTCAAATTTAATGATAAATATTACAATATACGCAGAATCTGAAGGGATTAAATAGCGACCGAAATGTACACGGAATTTTTTGTCTAGACGTAAAATAATCTAAATAAACTCACACATTAATGTCAATATTAAAATGTCAAGTTTAATCTATTTCAATATTAACAAAACATTTTTATAAGTTAAATTCGTTATCTGTAAATAAGAAAAACTTAAATTAAATGTTATGCAGCAAGAAGTACATTAATTGCGTTTCACGTATAATCATGATTATTAAAAGTTCATTAAAAATTCTTAATTAAATTATATCCAATATTCAAAGATAAGATACACTTTCCAAATGATTGATCACTAAAAATGCCTACGTAAAGACTTGAGAAAGTTTGAAAGCGTCCCAGCATCACCTTTTTAACGCATCTCCGGATTGAATGACTAAAATGTAGGAGGTGAGCTGAATTTAAATATGTAATAATCCTTTTTTTTTATATTCTATATTAAATTACAGAAGAAAAAAGATCACAAGCAAGCTTTTAATAACCTAATGTATCACTTCTATTTAACTATATGACATAACATATTTTTAGAGAAATAACAATTTAAAAATAAATGAAAAGTTACAAACGATGAAAAAAGATTAATATAAATATACAGTATAGTCAACTGAATACATTGAATAATAATTGAAACACGAACGAGCCAAAGAATCGGGAAAAATTTATTGAAAGTTTCGCTGAAACGTAAACTGTTATTAGTTTCGCCCCTTCGAAAAAAAGACAAAGCAGCTTTTTTTTCCTCGCGTTATTTTATCATCACGAGCTTATCGTTGATCCGACGAGCTGCAGGACTCGCTCCGGCGCAGGTGCGACGCGACGCGACGCGACGCGTCACCGAGCGTCGCGCACCGACGAAACAAAGCCGGTCGTATCGAAAAGAGATTCGCGCGGGGCGCGGGTATTTCCGCGAGGAGCAAGAGAGTAACGCAAAGAATTTTACCTGCATCGCTTTGGCATCGTTTGCGTCCCGTTTCGCTGCTCCGCTACGACCGTCGTGCACGTTCCTTCATCTGCCGCGTCTCACTCTTCCTCTCTCCTTCCCACCAACGGTAGACCTTGAAGGTCCTGAACTAACGGTGGCCTTTGCAACACGCCGACCTTCCCTGTGTCTCTTTTAGCAGGATCCCTCGCCGATTTGCGCACCGCGAGCGTTTCAGCGTCGAACCGGTCGCGAGTTCAATAGAATTTCCGCGGCGACCGGATTCGAGATAATGTACACTACACGTGTCCCACGGCGTCGGCTCAACTGAATTTCAGGCTATTGCGGCTCCTCTTTATTCTCACCTGGCGTAGACAGGTGCTGCAGGTGGCACCACCTTCCGAGCGACGACCCCCTGTCGCTTACCGATCATGCTATGGAGAACGTGAGAACAAATTGCAGGAAAAAGACAAACGCGCTCCTTCTCTCCTTTTACTAAAGCAATCAATTTATTAAGAAAAAAAATCTTGATAAATTTCGATAAAAAATTTATGTACAATTCTCTTTCAGGTTGCCGATTTTTTTTATGAAGTTCGTATTCTCTTGGATTGCAATAGTAGTAAAAAAAAAGGGACGAAAACAAAATCCCTTTTTTTTTTCAAACGATGGACCGAATTCTAGATAATATATGAGTAAAAAAATGGTAAGAATAATGGGATGGTCATAATATTGAAATGGAAAGTCTTTCATCAGCCTACGATGAAGGTTTTCTTAGAAAGCCATTCTTTTCCCTGCGATCTCACGACTTTTAGGAAATTGTCCATTGTCAGTCCGTGATATTCAGGAAACTATATTCTCTTCCTGGTGCCCGACTCCTGGAGGGAGCTATTTTCGTACTTTTTGTAGAAAAAAAAACCGCAAAGATAACCACACCGAATTTTTAACCGCGTTTTTGCTCCCACACGCGGGGTGTTCCGAGCTGAACGATGCTCTTCCGGGTCCCGACCCGTAACAAGCTACTTTTTCTTCCCGTGAAGCGTCTCAAGGAGAGAATGCAATGGTACTGCTATTCTTTTGTACAAAAGGGAACGACCGCCACAAATTTTTAACCGTGTATACACGAACACGAACACGCGCGGGAGTTTCGAAGCCAAAGAGGAACTCGCCAGTCTTTTACCAGACAGATGGTTTTTTTTTATCGCAAAGCGATCTAAAAGGCACATTGGTATTTCTACTTTTTTACACGACCCAGGAACGATCACAAATTTTTAACCGTGTTTTCGTTCATATGTTACGTTTCGCATGGAAGAAAGCCTTTTCAGGTCTTCGTGTTAGGTAAAACTTTTTGGGGAAACTAGTTTTTTCATTCGACTCGCAATTTTTTGGCAATTCTATAGGTACGCGGTCTGCTTGATGTTTGCTCCAAATTTTGACAATGTAAAATACGCGAGTTTATACGAAAAAATTTTCGTATGTATTTTTTTAATTACAAAAATATACTTATTATACAAAAATATATAAAATGTATACATCATTGATGTAAATTTTATTTTCAATTAATAATGTATACAATACGTACAATATACGCATAATATAATACAGGTACTTAATAATTTCCTAAGAAATGTTTCTCAGCTTCACTGGATTTTACAAGTATCAAGAAAGCAGGTGTACCACCGCGAACTATGAACCTGAAAGATTAATTTTGACATTAACAATAAGCTCTTCTGCTTATGAGTTTACTTATAAAACATTGCTAGTAAACTCACTGTTTGTCTCGTAATATTTCATCCAACGTGAGCTGGATATCTACTTTATGAATGGAACATTTGTTTTTTCCTTCAAAATATACATTTATATTTTCTATGGTATAACGATGTTTTACATCCCATTCAGGGGGTTTTTCGAATAGTTCGATTAACTGTTCAATTAATCTATAAATAATTAAAAATATATTTTAATGATATAATTATATGACGTATAATGTATTTTGATAAAAAGACATACAACATATCTTCGTGAAAATTTTGTATAAAATCAGTTTGCTGAGTCTCTGGATATAAAATCATTACTGGCCACACAAGCTTGTCCTTCTCGTCGAAGTGTACTCTGCTTTGTGCTATTTGCGGTACTTGAGGCTCTAGATCTCTTAATTCTAACTTTTGTTTATCATTCGTCAATTCTAAATTAATACCTTTCCGAGAAATTGTTTCTAATAATTTCTCATCCTCCTTATCAGATTTTTTCTCTGCTCTTTCCTGCTTTCTCTTGTCTCTTTGTAAACGCTCCTTTGTGAACAAAGTAATAGATAACATTAAGAATGGAAACTTGTTTTTGTAACTCAACTTTTATATTAATGTATATTTGTTAATATAACTTACTTTTGCAATTACAGAATCAGATCTTAATTTCAATATTATTTTATCGGTTGGACTTTGATCAAGAAACTGATCGCATGAATCAATGCATTGATCATAATCTTTAATGTGAAAACTACAAGTGGCAGCTCGACTCAAAGCCTTTGGATATTGTGGCTTAAATTTTAAGGCCAATTTACAGTCATTCAAACATGATCTATAATTTTTATTATATTAAAAACTCTATCATTAGTATTAATCATTCAATGCAACCTAAGCCTCGGAAGGCTTGCCTACCTGTAATTTTGCAACATGAAATGTGCTGCGGCTCTGTTATTGTAAAGCTGAGCCATCAAATCGTCATCTTTACATTTGGTTTTTATCCCTGTTGTATAACTAAGAATAGCAAGACGATACTTTTTATATTTATAATTGAAGTTTCCATCCTCCTTGTAATTATTCGCCAATTCTGCATTAAAAGTACATATATAAATATGTTGCATGGAAAGCAAGCAACATATTCTCTGCGTATGAACAACAATGAATATTAATCCATAATAGTACGACTGGGACACTTACGTCCTGCACATTTTTCTTTGAAATACTAGGAGTACTTAAATAAATAATGGTCTCTATTCTTTCCTTCTTTTTAATATATAATTTTGCAAATAGATTTCTAAAGATGTTAAAGTATGTGTAGGAATTACATACCTAATAATTTTTGTATGCTTATAAAAGTGATGAAAATTAATCCTTGAATTAATTTAAGACACGAATGACTCATTGTGTATATAAAAGATTGAAAAATTATCATGTATCAGACAATATGCATCTAAAAGATGTCAAAAAATATCCTGAAGACATCTTTTAGAATATATACATCTAAAAGATTTTTAAAAGACATCACAAAGAGATCTTCTAGATGTGCATGTTGTTTGATGTACTAATGATGAATTCGATTAGTCATACTATACTGGATTCATACATATTAAAGGCTGCTTTATATGGTGAATTTAGTCATTTTCACACTACACTGAATCAGTACACAATATAAAGATTGCTTTATATAAAGTATCTAAATGCAGTAGCATGATATAATCAATTTTGATAAAATAAAATAACACATACTCTATTAAATAATGTGACAATGTCATTTTTGGAAATTTAATTATTTAAAATATTCATTGTGCTTTTACATTTCACTAATTTTATATATAGTAGCTTTTAATAAACACTGACCTAACGTAATGCAAGTGAACGATTCGTTATAAAGTTTAAAAATAAGATAAAATAAGATATATAACGAATAATCTGCAAGTGTTGAAGAAAAACATACCTTCAGGAGTATTCTCATCCTCTCCGTACTTAAGTTGTTGCAATCCCTCCATCAAAGGAGACAACTCGTCGCCGGGTTCCGGTGGTTTTTTCATGAAAAAAGGATGCTTCTCCATTTCCTCTTGCCATCTATCCTCCGGCCATCCTTCCGCATAACTCTTTTTCTCCAAGTTATTTATGTATTCGTCCAGTTCGGCGTCCAATTTCGCGGCAAGCTCCAAACGCTCTTCGTCCGTCCAAATTTTCCTCTTTTCACCGATTTCGTCTCCTTGCATATTGTTTCCACAATAAAAATTTCACAACGGCCGAATCAAAATACGAGTGAATTATTTTACAGTCCAATTCGTCTGCGATGATAAATAATTAATTAGACGCGTTATACGTCATGAGTATATCATAATATTGCTCGACGTAATGAACATAACCTCGAAATTTACTACTTGTTCACCAAAAACAATGGTGGTCACGTGTGCGGAGTGAATAGCAGACGATAATTTACTTCTGATTTTACCGACCACGCGTCGGCATTTTATCTGTAGATGGCGCTGGCTGTACAGCTTTTCAAATGTTTTTAAACATACTGATGCGCGATGATAAATATTGTATATTTTTATACGCATTTTTTTATGGTTGTAAAATAAATTGAGTTTTAAATAGAAAAAAACACAAGAAAAATATTTAGATAAACAAAAATAATAAAATGCTAACATTACTTACGTATTACAAAAATATAAATGAAATTGAGAAAAAAGGAATAAAGGAGAAGAATTAAATTATAAATAAATATAAAACTATTATAAAATATAAATAAAGTTTGTTATTAAAAGGAACAAATTATTCAATGCTATATGTTATAATCATTTGATATCTAATAATTTATAATTAAAACAATTTAATAAACTTGCACATTTACATATAGGACACGTGTGAATCATATGATTAATGTCACGCAACCAGATCTAGGTTAAACCAATATGAAAGATTGTAATAACAGAAATCGAAAATTTCGTGAAATATTGAAATCTATAACGCTCAACAAATATCGTACGAAATTTTTGAATGCCACGTTTCTCAAATTTCAATTCGCAATCTGCCGACTGCCGACATTAATCCCAGCTTCCAAACTTGCGATATCGCGCAATATGGATTCGACAATTAAACGACCGACAGTTTGAGACAAGTTTCTCATTTAACATTTGAATTCAAGTTTCAAGATTCATTTGTTTTATTCTTTTAAAAATTCTATTCAAAATCAATGCTATTAAAAATGTTGCACAAGTGATTTTATTTACATGTACAAAAAACAATGTACTAACAAAAAGAGCGTATATTATTTATTGCATTACAGTCGCTGAGGTTATTGTAATTAAATTGCCATTAATTCAAACCGATCTATATACTCTTAATAATTCAAGGTATTTTCAAAGTGTATATATGAAGCAGAAGCCAATTATATCGATGTTGGTCTAACCTACATCAACTCAATTTTTTTCTTCGACTATTTTTCCAACAAAATGTTAATTCGGAATAACAAATTGTTAATTCAATTGCAAATTCAAAACTAGTCAATTTTAATATTTGAAGATACATACCCGGAAAAAAATGTTATATATATATGTGGACATATTTTATATATAATTATATATAATTGTAAAATATGTCAATTTTTTATATATAATTATATATAATTTTATATAATTTTATGTAATTATATGTAGAACTTTTTTCTCGGGTAGCATTATAAAAATAGGAATAATCTGATAATTTTATTAATGCATATACTGATTAATACATTCAATTTTTTAGTAATCGTTTTCATCGTTGTTATATCGCGTGTTCTGGATGTATAGAGATAAATATTTATAGGAGTTGCCTAAACAAAAGTGTCTCAATCACGTTGATCGTACAGTAAAAGTCATAAATTAACGTTGAATAATAGATGGCTTAATATTGCAACAGAGCCATCAATATTAATAATCGTTCGATAAATACACAATATCCATTTATTTTTACATATTGACAGTGAAAATAAAATATTGAAATTTGATGTATAACCGTAGAGGGATCATTTATACAAATGTGGGAAAGCCGGGATATAGAAAATTTGATCTCTATGAGGTGGAAAATGAAGGGTATAGTGAAGGATAGACAAAATGAGAGAGAGAGAGGAGGAGGAGGGGGAGAAAGAGAACGAGAGTGAGAGAGAGCGAGAGAGAGAGAGAGAGAGAGAGAGAGAGAGAGAGAGTGAAAGAGAGATTGAAAGAAGCAACTATCTCACATGCACACATTTAAATTTGAATAAATTATATATTGTGACGTCCATCCTTTATTGTCTTTAATTTCCGCTATGTTACATTTATGACAAAAATCTCACAAAAACAGATTTACGGGCGGATTGTAAAACGGACCGTGTCAATACAATGCGATCTCGATAATTCGATACTAATTAATATACGGAGATATATTATCGGATTATCGAGATATTGGGATTACGAGATTCGCAGTGTGTGACCACGAATTTGAGGATCCATCATTTCAATATGCAGCAAATTTAAGAGAGAGAGGAGGGAAGTCCATTGTGTTTTAGAATATGTAGAATATATAAAATATATTATATATATATAATAATATAGAATCATTATTAGCTGCCTTCATAATTATGGTCTTTACGATCTCAATTCAAAAATAATTTTTTTTCAACAAAAAGTTATCGAGAATTACGTTGATTTATACGGTAATAAATCTTTGTGGATTATCTATGATAAAAAAAATATCTCCAAGAGACATTCTAACATCGGCTGCACATCTGGTATCATAAATTTTTTAACTGGTATGTTTTCTTTTTTCTTTTAATTGAGATATAACATCTGCTTGTATCAAATCACTATGATTCTATACAAAAATACACTATTATTATTTATTAAACGAATGTTAATGAAAAAGGTAGATTCTAGATTAAAGACAAAGAAAGTAGACAGAATAGAACAGACATCGCTGTCTCCGTCAATTAGCAGTTAATAATTGTTAAATATATCTTCCTAAAGTCTCTGATAGGAAGTCTGTCCGGATTAATTGCGTTTCTATCCTGACTATTTATATCGTAATCTCAACAGATCGATAAGCCGATAATATATCTCCATGTATTAATTAATATCAAAATTGTATTACATTGCAGTATTAAACAGTAGATGAGTGAATGAATCAAACAATAAATCGTTTAAAGTTAAAGCAACAAAAAATTCTTGTTTTATTATTGCTAACATCCGATAAATGAAAATGCAATTTCTCAGAATGAAATAACTCGGATAATTTTCAAATTCTACTATTATATAAGCCTTAATCGGATTTTATTTTATCTCAGTTATTTCATGTTATCGTAAATTTATTATTAGGTGAGATAGCCTTTATAGAAAATAAAAATTGGTTCAAACACAATTGGTGTTTTCACGCCCCGAATTCCTAAAATATTTGAAGATTCCTAGAATAAAAGCATTCAGCAAAACAGCGCCAAAAAACAGCTTGTAGTCGAGAGACGCTTGTAGTCGAGAAATTCAGAGAATCAGCGAAGTCCTATTTCGGGAAATCACCTACCGTTTGTACACAGAGCGCAATAACAAAACAGTATTCGCGAGAGATGTTCTGTTTACTTCTTTAACTTAATAAAATGTAACTTTTACATTCGTAAAATATGCAAGTTGTCAATTATTGATCATCATTACATGTGATAATAAGGTGACCACATGTCCTTTATTTCACAGGTAGCTCTCCTTCAGATTTATTTATTTCTCAAAACTCAATTTTGTCTTTTATTGGGAAATTACTTTCTTTAACATTTCAATTTTTTAATGTCGCACTAATGAGCGAATGTTTACGAAAGCAACCGACAAATTTAGTCTTTGTTTTATGGAAGGACAATATTAGCCCAAGCAGAACAGAATCATAATAATAACAAAATGACTTCAAAATGAATCGTGAGATAATGGAAAACTTGAAAAGAGACTTTTAATAATTAAACCTACAGCTATTTTGATGTCATTTTAATGTCATGAGTGACTTGTGGTTTATTTGTTGAAAGAGTTATCTTAGTTATACTGCGCAAGAAAATTTCAAAAATTAATATGCAAACGTCTGACAGTTACAAATTAGTTTGAAATTATTTAAGAGTAAAGTCCTAAATTTTTCAGATTTGTCCCCTATTTTTCTTTAAGAAAATAAGATCACCGCACGCACGTGGGATGTCGTTATTTTCTTAGCGTTAACGACATTATAGGTCTATTTGTGGCTGCGTTTCCGCTTTATGTATAATGCATGATATATTATACTTTATCCTTGTTGTTCATCGAATGTTAAACAAGACTAAAACGATACATCATGCGCACCATGCGCTTTACGGAACGCAACGTGTTTTTTTTTCTTTTTTTGGTACTTTTTGCACTTAAATTTTTCGTTTTCTCTCTCCAATATGCGAATATGTAAGGTGTTCCGGAAATTGTTTTACAACCAGGAAGAAGATGGAAGAAGATTCTATAAAAAAAAAATAAATAAATAACATAAAATAAAATTTTTTTATACGAAACTGCTTTGGGAAAAGTTGTCTTTAAATATTCTCCGGATACAGCTGTCTCGACTTAACAGATATATATATACTACATGATCTGTTCTTGTACATAATATTCGACTTTAAAGGCATATAGAAAAATTGTTTTCTTTACAATTTTTTTATTTTTTGATTCTTTACTTTTCGATAAATTGCTGTGGCTCAAGGAACCGTAAACACTTTGCAAAATTGGAAATATATGTACACTGGAAAAACGATCTGCTAAGTTGCATTAATAGAAATTTTGATTGAAAATAGACAAATCAAAATTTTCTGATTGAATCTATTATAATTTTAGTTATTATAATTTTAGTTGAGATAACCAAAATTCTGATTGATATAATCGACATTTTCTAGTTTATTCATTTTCAATTTTTAAAAATTTTTCTCACTATAATTAAATTTTTATATATTTGAAAAATACCATTCTTTTCATATAATAATCAAAAGAGAACACTTATTAGTCTTTGATCCCTTCACTGCAAATTCATGTATGTAAAAAGCGATTACAATATATGTGTGTATTTGATTTTCTATGTAAAAATAATATCCTACTCTCTCTCTCTCTCTCTCTCTCTCTCTCTCTCTCTCTCTCTCTCTCTCTTTCTCTCTGCATACACAAATAGATTTACACACTTAAAATCGCACATATATCGTAGACACTTCTGATATATACTTATATTTGCAGTGTTGCCAATGTATTTTCATAACAAAAATATCATATTAATATAATGATCAATTATCGCAGGATATTTTGTCCATTATGCGTAAATTTGATTTGGAAACCTCCACAATACCGAAGCCTTATAAGTGTGTCTATGACATAGAAAATTCATAAAATCTAATATATCACATTGACAGAAAACGAATCGTAG